AGCTGTTGTACCTGTAGCATCCTTAAATAAAATTATCACAGTATTACAGAAGTGCTCCACTGAATACGTCAATAACATAAATATCTGCTCTGCAAGTTAAGACAGTTCCCTAAAGATCTAATATCCCGCGATGCATACACATCTCATATCTTTATATTCAAGATTTAGAATAAAAAAAATCAGCTGATGTTCTATAAATGTATTCTAGACTCGAGGATTTATGTTTTTTTACACCCTACCATACTAGTGAAATATATTTGTTTGAGTAATGTACATACGGCTCAACAGGAAAGCGTTGAATATTATCTATAAACAATTATTACCTGTTGCATACATCCATTGTGTGTTGTAAGTGTACTGTCCAATCCAAAGGTGTTCATTGATGCCAAGCATTTTATGAACAGCATTGACTTCATCACGTGACTTGGGCACTGTCAGGGTAGAAGATGCTTTCAGACAAATCGAAAAAGCTTCCTCCCAGGAAACATTGGCGTGAAATAGCAACAATTCTGGAGATACTGCAAGAAATAATAAATATAACTTAATACTTAACTTGAATTACAATTAACTAGGAAGTAAAACTTTCAGTTAGTTTCAGTTAGGAGACACACATAACCATAGCTCTCAATGTGTGGTGTTACCAAAGTTAGAACAGAGATATCTCTCCAGGAAGTAATTTCAAATGGTACATCACCATTATCCTGTTTTCGAGAGTTTTCCAACTGAGAGTATAAATCCATTACATTACACTGCTCGAAATGGGGGACAATGGCGATAGACGGATTCAATTCTTGGAGATATTACAATAGGCAAATATCAAAAGCAGGTAAGATCACAATAATAGGAGATTAAAACTGGTTAAAATGACGATTAACGCATATCGAAACTTAGTGAGATGACAATAAGCGGAGAATAGAACTGGTTAGAATGACAATGAGCGGAAATCAAGATTACAATAATTAGCAGATAAACAAGGGAGAAATGATAAGGGAGATGATCAAAAATGTAACAGATAGAATATATATGCTGAAACATATTTGAAGTGACAGAAATATATCGTGGTGATATTAACACATGTTAACACGTTATCATTTCATTGAGAGGTTTCAGAAACACATAAACAAAGGGTCTGAAGGACACTTTTCTGAAAAAAACATCGACATAAAACAACTGGGAAATGGCAATTTTTGCTCATCTCCGTTTAACACACACAGCTTTGAGAGAGAGAGACTGTGAATTGTTAGAAAGGATCACACCTAAAAGATTACTTTTAGCTGTATTAGATGAATGAACCATCCATAATGTCTAAATATTTCTTATAAATGAGATGCATTATATAGAAACAAAAATATTTCCTTACCCATAATTCCATGACCTGTTGCTTCTCCATCAGTGTCCTGACGTAGACAAATCGACGCAAACAGGACTTTAACAATACAAATCAGGTCAGCTTTCATGACTTTAGGTTTTGAAGTTAGACAAACGTGCCCAAATAAAATGAATTGTATCAACATCGTATTTTCCTTGTATTATATACCGGATACTGCGACTTTTTGACATATGAATCGACTCTTCCGTATCATTTCATATCGGTACTTGAAAGTACTTGATTATGAAAATGATATCATATATAGTCTTGAATGAGAAATCATTTCAATTGAGATTCTTGAAGGTTTTTATTTTCCCGAGCCATGGCGAACAAAAATGAAAACTTCAAGATAACTTCCACAAACTTTTATGTGCAACCAACACAGCCATTGTCTTACGCCATTCTAAATTCGTGACGTAACGTCATTGACCATATCATGACATCACAATCAATTTCTGACTGGTGCAGTCAATGAAAAACGCTCCAGGGTATACTACACTACTGAATATTGTTGCGTAGATAAGATTTTGTGACCTTGACATTTGGCAATGTTTATGCACTAAATATGACTAAATGGTACCATTGTTTAAATAAGCGTTTTATAAAATGCCTTGTGTGACTTTCAAAAGAATCCGAAATATTATCATCTGTATAATTAATATCTGGCTGGGTTATAGTTAAATCATGTTTAAATGTTGAGAGCACGTAGTACTCTACAAGTCATTTGTAAATAAGTAAATCGCTTGTATTGAGTGAATGTCCATTAAGATCAGGTCCATTACGCTTCATAAGTAGGATAATTAAACATTTTTAAAATACTTGGTATACTTAGTGTCGAAACGGGTCGCTTTAGTTGTCAAGTATGTACAGTGTATATATCACATATCCACAAGGATTTTGAAACAACAACTATGCCCTTATGCAAATTTATTGGAAGGATATCTATATTGTTAAAAATCATCCATTAATTATTATAACAAACCTCTTCTTTCCTCATTGATCATTTTATTGTGATGAAGCCAAAGATATATACATTGGAGGACTCATTATTCAGAACGTTAAACAACTGTCCTGAAATCAACTTTACAAATATGGACTTATTATAGTGTACATGAGTAAAGTTTTGTGAAATGTATTAAATAACAAATGTTTAAGATGATTAGTCTAAAGTTTAAACTTTATTTTCCCCGAACGTCTTTCTATTTCATCAATTTGTACAATATTCCTACTTAAATGTACATCTAATAGTCTCATGAATATTTCGATATATTACCAAAACTATGTTTTTATCGTCATTATTTGGCTAATTTGTATCTTAGTTACATGTACAACTAGCTCAAGATTTCATGATTTTCATGATTTGATGACTTAAAGGGAACAGAAGTTATACACAACTGTATATATATTGAGAACCTGTCATTATCCTTGCGTATTAAAACGCACCCTGCAGGTTACATACTTAAATATTTACATTTGCTTCGGATAGTCTCAAGCTGAAGTTTGCCAACCACAATGTATTTATTTACCAATATTTCCATTCTACCCCAGTTTCCATTTTAGTTCTGTGTAAACCAGATCGGAGGCTATGAACTCCCACCTGGTCAAGCGTATGAATGAATTTTCGGTTGTCAGATTGAGTTGTCCACCAAAAAGTAATCCTGGTAAATGTAAATGTAATATTTACATTGTGTGTTGCATTCACCTACATAACATTGACACTCCAAGTTGTAGCATATAAGACTTTATACTACAAGGTACAGTGATGTAAATGTCTCTTAGGTAAATAGAGCTGGCCACCAGTCACTTTCACTTTGTTACCGATATACAGTGAACTGACATATACGAAGTTGCTGGACATAAACAAGGCCTTTAAAATGGTAATTAACTTTACAAAGCTATAAGATTATAACAAAACAAATTTATTCTCAAACATGTAGTTTGCCACAAAACATTATTATTCCGATAACATACTAGATTACCAAGTTTGTCAACTTCGTCTAGTAAAGCAGACGTCAATTTGACAGTCCATATTACAGATTTAGAATCCATTACTTCCTGACAGGATCGACTTCCTTTTTATAATTTCCATGGGTATTCTATTTTGGTAATCGCATCAATCCATCCTACGACAAGAAACCGTACATGATTCCCGTGAAAAACACTAGACACATTGTTTCGTGAAATCTCAGCGAGATCTGCATCACTTGTCAATAAAATATCAATGCGCAATTTTCCCCAATTACATTGTACAAATACAAATACATGTAATTATTTTTTAAAAACCTGGTGGGAGTTTACACTTTAATATCAATAATCAAATTTAATTTGAGACTATCCTACTTCATAAAATTGATATTCATGATGACACAACGAACTTTATTATTATGGCTGTTCTCGGATTTGGATTGGCTGACTACAGTATTTGTTTCGGCGAGAAATCTAAACGGTGTATTTCTCATTTTTATTTTTGTTTTCATATTTTATCGATATTTCAGAATGGAAATTAAAAAAAAAACATACACTGTTACCAGATGAGGGCGCATTTCTTTTTATCTTCCACCGTAAATGGCTTCATATCAACTGCATACCTCATCTGGTAATAGTGTATTGCTTAAATACGTATTGCGACTAGGCTTGCGAAAGATAATACAGCCATGTCATTAAATGTGCGATATTTGCTTATATCCATACTTTTTACATAAAAGTGGTTTAAATGTTATAAGATATGTAAGACATTAAGATGTTACATAATATAGGCATTTAGAAACAGTCAATGTAAACATCATTTTAACCGTGGCCATTATGTTGACAAAGCGTTGTCAATGACATCCATCAACTTCTTACGTTATACTATGACAGGTCAACCGATTTGATATTGCTTACATGGAAATTTGTCCTTTCGAAAACTTTAATAAAAGCGTACAACAAGCATTTGGTCCGATATAAATAGACATGTGAAGCATGTATAGATGTTGTAAAAGTCCTTAATCACACCTTTTTAACCAGAAACACTTATCAATATCACAGCATAATGTTTGCTCTCAGATTTATTAACAACCATTTACATATAATTCCTAAAGAAAAAAAGATATTTGCGCTCTCTGTGATCACTTTTGTCCGAATACTCGGGTAAACTTTCTTTTTAGCATAACATTTGATCCTGAACTTTAGATTGAAAATAAGTGTCGTCATTAACTAAATTTCTGAGAACGCAAAATTCTGTAGTATTCTGTGATGAAATGTGCACCCATCCTTCAATTACCCAAATATACATGAAAAACAAGCGTCCGACGAAAGTCAATGCAACTAATATAGGTGACTTTCAACTCAAGAATGTCGCTGAAGCAGTCAAATTGAATACAAACAAAATATATTGAACTAACTGCTCAGGACGATATAATAATCCATTCGGGTTTATGTGGTTAGTCTTACAGACCAAAAAATCGGATATTCCATGTCTGACTATAATTTAAGTTCTACTCATGGAGACGGAAACAATTTACATGTCATAATATCTGTTCCGTCTTATGGACTATGCGTCGGGAAACAAACTGTCCTAAAATAATTTATGGTATGGTAGCAGGCGAAACACAACCTAAATTTGATGCACAATTCTATGTAACAGATGCGTTCAGTAGAGCTGGTACACGTGCATTTCATTTTCACCTCGAGGCAATTGGTTGGTTACTACGAATGTTTCCCCACACACCGAAATAGAACTAGGCATGTGTATACCATCAATTGCTGTCAGAATCTCTCTAACCTTGTGCCGGTCTACAGAAATTTGGACCACGCTGTTGGACTGTTGGTCACAGACGTACACGTTCCCTTCATAGTCTACGTCTATTCCCGTCAACTGATTACTGCCACAAGAATAACGCGTTTTGTTACTTCGTCTACTTTTTTGGACGGGACAGGTAACATGTGCTTGTACAAATCTCAATGGACCTCCCCATGGGTTAGCTTTCAGTAAAACTTCTTTGGCCATTGTCACATTCATGGAAATCCTGACTATGCTGTCCGATACACAATCACTGACATCATCATCGACAACGCAACCATAAAACTGCGGTTCTGCAAAAGAATTTGATGTCATGCCAGGTTCGCGATCTGACAGACCGGCGTATAGTTGTTCTGACATCGAATCATAAGCCAGATGATAGCAGTGTTTTCTCAAGGTGTGAAATTTGACGACTTCGCCTTCTTTGGTCACAATATATATGTCACTTGGTGTGCTCACCATGAACATTTCATCCATATATGCTAAACCATAGCATTCTATGCGACCATTCGTGTTTATTGTCGATGAATAAATCAGTTTCGAATCCTGTACATTCACAACATGAATTACTTCCTCACTAGTGACAGCCACTGTGTTTCTACCTACCAAGCACATATCACATGTATTTGTCATCGCTATACAGTTCAAATATTGTCCTTCTTCTGTAAACAACATCAGTTTTCCCTCAACATTGTCACTAACAACAATGTGATGATCGGGTAATAATACAACTCCATGCTGACTGTCAAAATTAAAGGAATCATACGAATTCGATTCCATACTGATTTTCCTTAATTTCTTTGCACGGCATTTCGACAGCATTTTCGTAGATCTAATGCCTGCAGGTAATTCTTTTCTTTTCCTTTCAACGGTGATTCTACCCATGGATTTGTCGTCAATGGTATGCAAACCAGTATCGATATCGTGCTTGATACTGACAGATGTGAATGGTCTACCCAAGTTACAGATTAGATCATCACAGGCACGGACCTCCGTTAGACCTCTGTGGAACAGCTGTATGGTATGTACATTGTCCTCTCTTAGTATTGCTGCTCTGAACGCTTCCCTTGTAGTCTGCATAGACGCCTGCAGCCGATTACATTTCTGCTTGGACAAATCAGCCTTGGATTTCTCTCTTTTGTACGTTGAACTCAGCTCCTTGATTATCTCCTCCTGTTTTTTATCTAGACGGGTGTTGATCTGGTGTCGTAGGGAGATAATACTAGACAAACTAACATCCTGACATTGTTGCATGCTTTCTATCTGATCGTCGAAAGCTTTCACCATCAGTTCCATATAGTTGGACGACGTCCCTAGAGACTTCTCCATGTTGTCTAACTGGGAGGTTTTCTTCTGTTTGTCACAATACTCTTTTATCATCATCACCACTTCACAGCGTCTGTGTTCTGTGATAATACATTTGTTGCATCCGATAAACTGATGATCGTCACAATAACAGTCCATCTTTTCTTTGTGTGTAGAGCAAGTCAGTGGCAAAAGTTGTTTCCAACACACGTCAGGAGATGTCTCATTGATCGTTACAATATCGCAATCTCTGTGAATGACATCATGAAAATTTACTTTACATGGTTCGCAAAAGAAAGTTTTGTTGACATTACACCAGACCTCAGCTCGGGCTTCTATATTCTTTGTTGTCTTACAGGGTCCGCAAAGTTTTGAGACATGCGGAACCATTTGAAGATTGATTAAATTTTGAACATGGCTATTGGCCGGAAACTGCTCTGCCCAAGATTTCTTTGCTGCCGCGTGGTTTATAGGCGATGTGACCTTTCTACATACAGGACAAGGGAATGATGTCGCGGAGGCCATTTCACCCGACAAATCTGTGACGATGTAGGTACCAAGACATTCCTCACAAAAGGAATGTAGACAAGGAAGGGACTTTGGCTTTCGCATCTGCTCCAGGCAAATTGGACATTCAAGAAGACGATAGATCAATAGGTAATTGTTGTGACTTTTGTCTACATCAGGGAATGCTTCTCCTTGCTGTGCCATTGTAAATTCAATTTGTTTTGTTTTGTTTTCTGAAATGATGAGGAAATATCCATAACCAATCCCTTTACTAAAACAAAACTATAATTGATCTTTCTAAGTATGGAATATTTGGAAAAGTATGAAAAACAAGGAAAAACAGTTCTCTTGAGAAAAAAACACATTGGTAAATGATATGCGTAAGTCCATGGCAAACTTGAATATCGAGTTACACTAGAACCATTTTTGTAAGAATATGTCTTAAACGTTATCACTATTTCTCCTGGACAATTTTTTGTTTTTGATTGTCTGTTTGTTTGTTGGTTGGTTTTTTTTTCATTAACGATGTTGTTTAATAATCTAAGTTCACCTATTCGTTGGATCAGGTAAACAACCGACATCATTAGTGTATATATCAGCTAAGAAGAAGAAGAATACCATGGATAGGTGTTAATGAGAGACCCAAAAGTCGGATCAACACTTGATCTTGCAAATCAAGTGAAGAGTTGGAAGATTGCAAACGAAGCCGTTTTGGTTTAGACGAACTACAAAAATTGGTTGTGCTCCAGCTAGACTATGTTTGTACAGATTTTATTTTCGAAGTTCCATACAATGCCATTCTGATACAAATTTTACTGTTTAAGTTGACCCCTTGATAAGTGTTTATGTGTATATGTTTTATCTTTTAAACTAGATATGTGACAATAATTTCATGAAACATGTGATTCTTGAAAGGAGAATGTTTATGTTATGCTGTGTCTGAGATGTCATGTGATATTTAGATATTCACATGTGGGAGCATAAAGACAGCGTTTATATGTATATATGTATCTTCTGTTCTATTCCTCACAGGTAAGAAGATGGCCTTTCAGTATTTAACGTGAAAACACTTTAATTACTTGTTATATATAACAGACAGGTCTTTATCGTATCATGTTTCCTAAACAGCACGAGTTCATTCTGCGTAACCGCCTTTCTTAAAACATATTCAACGATTCGCCGAACATCCTGATAAAGTGGTTTCAATTTCGATATGCAAAGTGTAAATTTTGTATAATAAAACCCACAAAATTTTATCCAAAAGTACTTCCCTTTTGATATTCTAAACTAGATCACCTTTCAGAAGAGAGAGTCTAACGTTCTACCCCTGGCAGCTTTATAACGTTTCACGTTTCTAGGGCAATAGAAAAGTGACTTATATCCAGGAAGTAATGATAATTGAACTATGTTATTTATATATCTAAACATGAACTATTTTGATTGTAGTGAGTCAGAAGGACTTATGTACTCACAAGTGTAACTTCCGATCAAGGAGAGGTGTCGGCACAGAAAATTGGAGCCACTGATCTGAGTTGATTCGGATCTGTGTGTGCGTACGTTCTGTTGTTTTCCTTTCCGTTCAACCGGAAATGCGCAGTTTGTCGTGATAGGGGAATACCCTATGTTGTCCAGAATGCACTGGTACAACATAACAATTATTTCATGGTTAAATTCCTGAAATTTTCGCCGTAATATAAAAAAAAACTTTTACTAAAAGCGAGTTGCTTACGGAAAAGTATTAAAGTCATGACTTTGTCCCTTAATTCAAATTCTTTGTTACTCTTTTTTCTCGTATTTAACTTTTAATCAAACTTCGAAGAGTGACATGATCATGTATTATAAGTGATAACCTACAGAAATGGTTTTTTATGTTTTAAATAAGTAACGTTAAAGCAAAAACAATCAAATAACACAACAAAGCTAGACTTATATTATAAGTGATAACCTACAGAAATTTTTTTTATGTTTCAAATAAGTAACGTTAAAGCAAAAACAATCAAACAACACAACAAAGCTAGACTTATATTATAAGTGATAACCTACAGAAATGTTTTTTTATGTTTTAAATAAGTAACGTTAAAGCAAAAACAATCAAACAACACAACAAAGGTAGACTTATCGTGAAATACACAAATAAACCAATAATAAACGACTCACTTTTTATGAAGACAACACTTTTACAAATGTAGTTCTATGTCGTGCAAATATATGAAGTTAATATCAGGGGCAGTAACTCCGACAAATAAGATAAAAATATGGCGCACTCAATCACACATGTGATATTTGATGTTGACGGATTGCTGTTGGGTAAGTCGAAATTCATTCTAGCTGTAGAGTCTTTGGTTCATTTGATGTGAAATGTTTAGGATAGGAGACGACATATATATGTGCCTGTGGTATATACATACAATACAAGTCGATTATCTCTCTATAACACCAAATAGGTGAGAGTGTTACAGGTGTATATTGTAGTACAATGGATAACATATGCGTCTTTATCTATAGATGTGTCGTGCTTTCACTAATAGTGTACATATATAGTATGGAGACGTTCCCTGTATTACTTAACATATATAATATATAACACACCTATCACGTCAGTCGTTGACCATGATACTTTCGGGCGCGGTCTAATAGGACCTTAACACAGTTTTTAAGACCGATTGGCTGTCTACCTACGGTCAATAAAATCACAGTTAGAAATATTCTTTTCCGTTTTGTGAAATGCGGTAAAGAAGAGGACAATACTTGGATTGACAATAGAGTTAGAAGGTTGTTGCCGTTATACCTCGGATTTGTTCATATTTTGTTGTATTTTGTAAATAAATGTCACAATTTGTTGTTACCAATACTCCTAGCTACTTTATACAATATAAACAGGAAACAATTAATTTGCATTTTTCCTGTAAATTATTTGTCATGTTTGAGATATACAGGTATAGCAGATTGGTTATGAAAAATACATCATTACATGTATATATATTTATAAACTACATAACAATTACATTAACAGTAGAGACATGAAATTTGTGTAAAAAAAAATTTCCTCTGATTTCTGACATTTGATTGTCATGGTTACCTACTGAAAAAATGCTAAAAATGCAAAAATACTGCTAACTCCAGCCTAACACTACAACTTTCTAGAAGAAATTTAATTCTAACCACCTATCTTACAATTAACAACACTGTCATGGTAACAAAGTACTTACATTTCAGCAAATTCCAACTCGGAAATTCTTCATAACATGACCACATGTAAACACTATGAAAATTTCACTTCCTGTAAAACTAGTTTTTGCTGCGTAGACACAGATTCGAGACTGCCCAAATAGTAATCTCCAACACAAAGCTAAAATAGTATCCTGATAAAAATGAAACCCCACATTGTCCACTTAAACATGACAAGACCAATTTTAGCAAGGATTTTTTTTTCATTTTTAATTAAAACCTTTATAATGGGGTAATCTAATGAGCAAAAAAATCACCCATGGCCACACCGAGAAACTGTGTACTGCTACCTTTATGCCTCGGATTTGTTCATATTTTGTTATATTTTGTAAATAAATGTCACAATTTGTTGTTACCAATACTCCTAGCTACTTTATACAATATAAACATGCCACGAAAAATAAAATTGACTATCGATTGAAAAAGTTGTTTACTTTAATTAGGCGTATTTAAGAGTACGCTGATATCGTTTGCACAAAGAGACGAGTATGTTAAGAAGCTGAAGAAAATCAACGGGGAAGCTGCTAGAAATATATGTGGTGCAACAAAACCAACAAACATCGAGTAACTCTATCAAGAAACTGGTCGGGAATTATTAAGGGAAAGAAGAAGAAAGTACAAGCTTGATATTATAACAGACGTAAAACATTTTAATAAAGTTATATAATGGTCTGAGATGAACAAGGTTTCTCTTATATAATCCCATTTTAATTCTAAAATGTATATCTGGAATTCACTTAGGTGATATAAACTGCAGTAGATATTGTGACATTTTTGCAGACTCGGAAAGACTTTATGATACCATCAACGCACAGATCGCACAAGAATATGGTAGGACGTTTACACAAGATGTCAGACGTAAAATAAAGGGCAAGAAAGAAGCGGAAGTAGCGCAGAGTTTGATTGGTTTGTGTTATCGTAATAAAGAGTAGTACATCTAAATTATCATCATCATTTAAACATAGAAATATAATTTCCAAATAATTATGAGAAAACGTTTGTGACGGATCGACAATGATGTAAGATATAAAATTAACCATGTTTTCATCATCAGGCTAACACAATTTAAATGACCATAATAACATTAGCTAATGTAAGTAAGCTAATAAAGCTTTCTAGGATGACATTTTCCTTCATTTTTTCTACAGTATGCTCTAAAAAGATGTGTAATGTTTGAATACCTTTATACCTTTGTTCACAAACTTTAAAGCAAAATTGACAATTGTGAAAGAAGAAGTTATAGTGTAGAAATTAATATTATTGTTGTTTCTCATTTCAGAAGAGCTGGACCTACCCATTACAGTGCATGACTTTCTCATTAAAGACAGAGAACAACAGGAAATACTACTTCCTACTGTCGATTTACTTCCTGGTACAGTTGTGTTAGAATATGTGTTATACTAATTTATGTATCAAAACTACTTCATATGATAGTAAGAAAACACCATCTTTTTAAAGTTTTTTTTTTTTCATTTTGTTTATTAAAAAATAATGTAAAACATTCCCAACTCAATATATGTATATTTTAAACTTTTGTAATTGTTATCAATGTAAAGATCAATAATCAAGATGGTTTAGTTGTTAAAATAGAAATGTTTAAACTTAATCATTATTACCAATACCAAGGTGCTGAAAAGTTAGTGAGACATCTTCATAAACAGGGGATCCCTATCGCCATAGCAACTGGTTCTAGTAGCAGAAGTATGAGACTGAAAACGACACGTCACAAGGACCTCTTCAGCCTCTTCAACCACTTCGTTTATAGTAGTGATGATCCTGAAGTTATCAATAGTAAACCGGCTCCAGATTGCTTTTTACTTGCTTCAAGTCGATTTCCGGATCAACCGGAACCACGCAAGGTACTTAACATTTTATTCAATGCTGAATTATTTCTTCAAAGTATCTGTTCGGCCTAGGTTGTGCTCAGTCCAATTTCCTCAATGATTAAAGTTATACTATCTAGCTTCTTATTTAGAATAACTGTTTGATTATGGCTATAAGTAAGTATTTAAATGCTCCCAAGATGACAGCACAAAAACAATTCATCTGTCACGGATGATCTTTTATGTTGGCAGAACCAAGGTCCAAATTAGTAATCAATCCTAATTCAACAAAATCCCTTTGTTATTTATATCGGATCACTTTTTGTAACACTTTCTGACTTGTCAGTGTTCTCCATTCTAAATCACTTGTTATTTGTATATGAAGCGCTAACATGCTTCAATGAATTTGCATTTGTCCAATTGGCATTCATAAACCCATGAATGCCAACTGAAAACAGTTCAATTCTTAAATAAGGTTACTTCGTTACTTGTCCAGTGCCTGGTGTTCGAGGATGCTTGTAATGGCTTGCTGGCGGCCCACGCGGCTGGGATGCATTGCGTGTGGGTACCTGACCAGGACCAACCTCAGGAGGGATATAGAGAGATAGCTACACTGACCCTGGAATCTCTACTACAGTTTAAACCAGAACAGCTCGGCCTACCACCTTATAATGTGTAATGGTATGAATAAAGGCATTAAAGATATATATATATATATATTTATGCATTAAACATATATCAATATTTCGTCTTAACGAGTACTTTAAATTGTCCTATTCTCCTTGTATTTTTTCAGTATTGATCGTGTATTTTCTTTTATTCGGTTTCAGTTTAGGTAATAATTGTATTGGTATGTTTATATTTTATATGTGGTGATGTAAAACTGCTCACATGTAACGATCAAGAAAACGACATGAGAACAACAAAACATAAACAAAACGTAAGTTAAAGTCAGGCCGTCCTAATCCTCGGCTCAACGGAGTAAACATACCATAATGATAAACCTTCCAGGAGGAAATACGCCCGACAGAATCACGAAAAAAGGAGATAGTTATATCCCAAATACCACATTTACAATCAAATGATGCTGGATATTTGGGTGAAGAGTTTGAAGTTCAGAGCTAATTTTCAAATCAAATATCATTTACACTTGAATTATGCTCTGTCGTGTTGTACGTATGTTGAATTAAAAAGTAAGATACTGATTGACCATTCCATGATAATAATTATGTAACATATTCTCAATGAATAATTTTCATGATCTAATCCTCGATATACACATGAATTCTGACGCTAGCCGAAAGACGGTGGCCATCTCTCCTGTTGAGGCCGATGATAGACTTTTGAGATACATATTACAACGACATACTTAAATGTATCCTCGAAATGTGAAGTGGAGGGTACGATGAGTTGTTTCTTGACGATGCTTGTCCACGGTAACTGTTGTGTTATCGATCTACTTTGATGACTTAATACATTTACAATTCTGAGATACAGGTGACATGATAATAATATAATAAACTTTTTTTGTTTTACAACAATTGCGAAGAAAGTTTTTCCAACTTATATAAATCAATCTTGTTGGCTCGGATGGAAGCACGCGAGGGGTCTTAGTGTGGAAGGAAACCAGAGTACCCGAGGAAAACCCACGAGGTCGGGCAAGTGAACCCATACCTTTTTCACATCCATTTCGGGAATGGAACCCCGGACGGCAAGGTGAAAGGTGAGTGCGTTACCACTGTGCTACCCGACCACCCATGCGACAAATTCGGGTATGTACACCAGGGATGAATATAAAATACAATTAAGATAATCAACGAAGAGAAACATTTTAAGCCTTTCCGGTTGGTTCGACCTACACCAAGACCCGTATCTATCGATAACTTTAATATCGTCAATAGTTGAAATGAGTTTTGATTGGCTAAGAACAATTGAGGGATCTTTTCAACCAAAATTGTTCTTAGTTTGTGTTGAATACCTTTGATATTTGCGACAATCACATCACTTTTGTACTTAAATTGTTTTATGATGGGGAGAATATGCTTGTTTTATATATTTACTGGATTATTTTTTTTATAACTTCGTGTTAACTAAAAATACAAGATCAAACCGGCAATATGTTCTGAAAAACAAACATATCGTCCTCTTATTTATTACGTAATCATTTCTCCCTATTTTGAATATTGACCCCAGCTTTATCTGAGATATATTTCCAAATATTTTGTCATCTTTATGATATACAGAGAGACTTAAGAATAAAAGAAATCGGATAAATGAGACTTGCGCTTTTTAACATGTCTTATTCTAAATTGAAAATCAAGAAGAAGATAACCTTCAAGCAATGAGGAAACTCTTTTACCTAGGCTAAATGATTTCATGTGTTCGTTAATTGTGATCTCCTATGTACCGAGTTATCTCGAAGCAGTTCCTTCTTTCTGTCACAGATACAGCCCTTATAACCTAATTCGGGTACGTTTCATGCCCTCTTACAACTGGTTTGTTGGTTGGGTGATTAGGTACAGGTTTTACGTCTCAGTAACTCGTCCTATCTCTAGGCATTGTCTCACCAACGAATGTTAGTGGTCTGACAACATACTCCTTCAAACTGATGAAGTAACTTACATAATGAAATATTACACATCAGGATTCGTTATATAACAATAACACCAACCTTTGTCTGAAAAACAGGAGGTAAACACGTTTCATTTGATCTCAGAATTTGTTTTACGAGACACGCAATTTTAATCATTAGTTGAACTTTTCTCAAGCGGGTTAAGGAAATCACAGAATATAAGTAGTTGGATAGGTAGCGTTGAAAAGGTACAGTATAAAATTTGTGCGATACTTGAAAAATAAGGTCATGAGTTTTTTACTTAAAGCTTAAAAAAATGTCCTTGCTTTACTCTTTGGTTTACTTCATGTTTAATCACAGACTTAGATATAAATGTAGATATAGATATAAGATATATGTTTGATATAGATCAATATTTAAGTCCGTGCTTTTATGAAACGTATCATCAATGTTTACAATATCTTATAGAAATAAACGAATCATGTTGGATCGCCGTTTCGACATATTCCCAAAAACTATTTAAAAGCGTCAAAGAAAACAGTTTCCATTTCCCTTGAATTCTTAACAAAATGTCATTAATGATCACGGAAAAAATAGTTTAACGTAAAAATGTTTTTAAGTCGGTGGGGAAGTAAAACAAAATGAACATTTTGAACAGTTTTCTCATTTCTGCGTTTCTGAATGGAAAGTATGTACACAAATGTTATTTCTATATAGTTTTTCATTATGTTATGTTAAACAACTTTGAAAGGCAAAATACATGAACAATGTATTGTACATATGATAACTCTGACATATGATTACTTCATAAATCTGTTTAAGAAACCAAACGACAGAATAGTGGATAACTATATTACTTTATTATTACGTCAATAGCAAACTTTGTACCGAGCGAATAATGGTATTAAATAAATATATACTATAATGCAGTTGTTAAATATTAATTAAACATTTTCACTCGAGTGTTTCCCGACTCTTTGTTAGGTTTTCCAAATACGTATTTGTTCATAAACTGTGCATCGCGTGACATCATCTCCCTTTGGACGAGATTAATCGGCGTCGGAAATGACATGTGCTCCACATGACCAGTCAGTGGTGCCGCCTGGTGGTGGGACAAATAAGATGTTTGAGACTGCTCAGCAACTGGTCCCAACCATGATGGTTGATAATACGAGTAGTCCCCGGTAATGAGAGACCATGGCTGCCACGTTCCCTCCTTATTAGGAGCAACCTCTGTCGATGGGGCTGATTGCAACTGAGTAACGGGTTCGGTCTTCGTGGCGGAGTATTCATCTGTGGTAAATAACAATATCGATAATAATAGTTACCCTTAATCCCATTTATATCATCTGCGTTTTAAACAATGATGATAATAAAAATAATAAACCTTCTTTATTGAGGATGAAACATGTTTAACCAAACGGCTAATCCTCCACATGGTCCTCTTGTTAGTTAAATATATGGATTAATTACAAAATTAAATTACAAGAACAGTATACACAATAATATAAAACAGAATCACATCAATTAAATGGCTATTGCCTAATATACATAACACGCTAACATAGCAAAAGGTAAAAACTGACCCAGTAATACGCTTATGCATCATAATCTAAAATAAGTTTATTACCAAATAAAGAGATGAAATTTAAAAGTATGAAGATGTTTGATAAGCTTTAGTTTAAAACTGGGTAATGTTTTTATAGTCTTCAACTCATTTGGAAGCCTATTCCAAAGTTGGATACTAGCAATAAGAATTTGTTTACTATAGAATGTTGTTCTGTGTTTTGGAACCCTGATGTTGTTTGCATCTGAAAACCTAGTACTTCTAGAATGGCCTTTCTGTACCAAGCAAACATTTTCTGATAAGTAATCTGGCACTGTTCCATGTAGACATTTAAACACCATACATAATATTCTGAATGTAAGATTTGATTCAATGGGCATCAACTTTAACATTAGAAACATATCCCTAGATGGAGTCTCGTATGGAACCTCTAAAATAGTTCTGGCTGCCTGTTTTTGAGCCATGGGTAACTGATTCATCAGTTTAGCTGTACACCCAGACCAAACTGTGCTGCAATATATAAAATGTGGGAATATGCAAGAGTTATAAAACTTCAGTCTGCCACTGATATTTACGAATTCTACATAACAGTCCTAAGCGCTGTCTGATTTTGGTAACAATGGATGAAATATGTCCATGGAATGACAAGCACTCATCTATATACACCCAATTTTATTTCTTGGCCAACCTGCTCCAAAGAAACATCTTTCATATAAAAATATCGAGAATAGTCATTACGTGATAATTTTTGTTTTGAAGCAACTAGCATGCATTTGGCATTTGAAGCACGATTTCTTGAAACAATATTAAAAACGCATGTACGTGTAGCATGCCTTAAAGCATTACACATATCTATAAAATATTGTATAACAAGTGAATTTAAACTTTCAAAACAAATGAAAATGAGATACAGAAGAGGGAAACTGCAGATTACAGCTGTTACGTTTTTCTCGTCAGGGATGTTAAGGCGCTTAATTGTTGAAATCTAGGGGGCATCGGAGGAAAACACGGTAAATTTCATTACACTACAGTACTATTGCTGAAACCTAGCAGACATCTGAAGAAATAAGTTAAAAACTATTTCCGCACATTACAGCACTATTGCTGAGATCTAGGAGAGACCTGAGGAAGTTAAAAACTATTTCAGCACACTACAGCACTATTGTTGATACATAGGAGAGGCCTGAGGAAGGTAAAAACTATTTCAGCGCACCACAGTGCTATTGTTGAAACCTAGGAGGCGTTTGAGGAAATTAGAGAAGATTTTAGCACACTACAGTACTATATATCTTTTTTGATGCCGTTCTAGTTGTCGATGGTGTAATTTAACACAGCATCAAACTAAATACAATACATCTGTACATAGATTCGTGTCATTCCTGTAGGAAATAAATGTAATACTCACCCTCAGGGCAAAGGTCAACTTTTGGTGCTACCCCTTTCCTCCATTTGGCGCGTCTGTTTTGAAACCAGATCTGTGGATAAATACAAAACAGTATAGAGTTTAGATATTGGTTGATTGCTATAGCTTGTAACGGGAATGTTTGTCTCGTTCGGGGTGTCTAGTATACACAACTTAACTACTTGTATATCACTAGAAATCAAATGTTATTTACTGGAAATACTCCAGACAAGGACGCCTTATAACCTTCAGCCAAGATAAATGTGAATTTATATTGATATATTATAATATAAAACATAAAATAGACGACACTTCTGATCCATAAGTGTTTTCAGTAACAACTGAGATTAGACAACTTACTGTTCCAGGACTAAACATTGGACCTTTCAAACTCGGTTTTGTAGATGGATTATAAATAAATGTCAAGTAAATGCATGTAAATTGCAAAGATATGGTTTTTAATCTTCTCTATATCATTCTTTAAAGTAACGATTGATAGTTGTATAAAACTGGTACGCAACATCTGTTGTTAATTACTCGGATAGGGAAAGAAGAATATTAAGAATTGAAGACAAAATTTGTACAATGCAAGAGGGATTTATTACAAACCTGCACTCTGGATTCATTTAAGGTCAGTTTTCGTGCCAAATCTTCTCTGGTAACTACATCCGGGTAAGGGGCACGGCGGAATGCCTTTTCCATCTCCTTCAGTTGGAAAGGTGAAAACGTGGTTCTGAGTCATCAAAGAAAACATGCAAGAATGAAAATATGTCTTCTGTTATTCAGGTACAAGTTACAGTAAACTTTTACTACTTTTTCTTTAAAAGAAGGAAATAGCGTTGTGGCGTTGTTTTGAAACAAACATGATGATTAATGATACAACCGACAACACCATTATAAAAAGGTGTGTCAACACTTGTAACGTCATGAGAATATTGCCGATGCTTATAAAAACACTCAAAGTAAGTGGTAAACATAATCTTGAATTCATTTCAATTTCATACGAGATTGATAAAAATGGCGAATACTGTTTCAGCTTATTATTCCATAGGCTCGTTCGAATGAAAAGCTCAAAATCCCATGTGAAATGGAAACCCATGCAAGATCCACTAATACGATAATTAAGGCCTAAACTACTACTCATGTATTGGCAACTGAAAGCAACGAGGATACTGAATAATGGACAAGCCTTGTCGACAAAGATGATTATTAATGCATTAACACAATGAAGTATGCGAATTAATGATCAAATAGGTTCCTTAGTTATTACCCCCATATTGTACAACATACATTTGTTGACCGGGTTTGAGGTTAACATAACACATGTTAACCGAAAATCCAGTCTACAAACATTTTGTTATACCTTCTTCCCTTGATATAAGAAAACGAATCATTAATGCCATCGATGTCTTCAGCGGTAAATTCAGGAAATCTGTTCAAGATGGCAGACGACACGTTAACATCGGATCGGAAGCTGACGTCAGCAGTACTTTCTAGAAAGGAGGGGGAGAGGGGCACTATTGTTTAAAGGCGGAAATTGTGGAGTAACGACCGGGGAGTGCTGAACAATAATGAGTTGTGACGTAACCAGTAAACATCGACAGATGTTTATCGGTAACCATGGTTCTGGGGCAAACATCTGGAATTTTAGACTTTATTCAATATAAAAAAAGTATAAAGAATAAGTAGTATGGTATCCGAATAAATCTTAAGATTGAAAGAAGAAAAAACTTAATAAATAATATCATCAATTCATAAACCGCTCTGAAACATATTCAGAATTATATTAATGTCAAACACATATATAGATTAGTATGCAACAAACACACGGGATTGATAAAAAAAAACCCAATTCTGTGTCGTTTTTTTATATTGTTCTTTGATTGCCCACTTACCTGTGTCGAGGTTTGCGGCCCTTGTTCGAGGTGACCAATGAACTAGCAATGTCTTCTGACATGTCGTTCTTCTTTAGAACCATGGCGTGAAGTCTCTGTAAACTTCTTACAGCTAAAAATTGAAAAGAAACCCTATTGAGAGAAGCCATTTAAGTCTTCGACTAATAAGTAATAAGAACACCAATAAACTTTCCATGTCTGTAATTTTACATCTTGCCACGTTCGTGTGAAATGTTTCTTTAAAATTCTTAATATCGGTAAAAACCATGTTCAGCTTCTTTTGGATTCCGCATCACGGATTCCTGCAGCTGACTCTCTCTGAACTCCTTGTCCTATTTTCCTTTTGCTTTTTTCATGAGTATTCGTGTAAATCTCTCTTTTGTTCATATTTTACCCTTCTGATTACATTTACATGTTGGCATTTTCTCGTTGTTTTTGAGGTTGTATAAAATTCTTTGATCCTTTTGATCAATTAGTTGATAATTGTATAGATATGGGCGATTGCGTTAATTCGCTTCGTAAAACATTCCAGTATTTCTATGGTATGCATTGTGCTGTTCGGTCACCCTAAATGACATGCAGTAATAACTCGATATGATATTTATTCAACCTCCTTGATTGTTAATTACCAACGTATTTCAACATTCTCTCTGCTTGAGTTTTACCTAGATGCAATGCTTATTATGGTAACAGTATGCTTGGAAAGTCACATAATGAATAAATAAACATTTGTTTGTAAAATATAATATGTTGAGATGTTAAGTATATCAAAACTCTATTGAGATGAAAATGGCCTGTAGAAAGGTCAACATTTAGAAAATTAGAAGAAAAAAAGATATTCCTGATGACCAATTTTCATTTGAGTTGGAAGATACAGAACGTATTGAAATACATTACTTAGAGTGTTATAATTAAAAGTGAATATAATAGGAGTTTTTACATGTATACAATAACTTTAGATAAGAGTTTATTTCTTGGTACAGTTTACGTCCATTCGTCCTTCGTGGACTCTTCAGTCATGTTTGAAGGTAAAATTCTAGAAACCCATACCAGAAGATAGGTACATCATAATCAATATCGGAAATGGTAGATTATATACAAAGGGACCCAATTATTTCTTTTTGGGGGTCAAATAAGAATCACCCAATTATTGTCTTACACAAACAAGACGTACATAACAGTTAATGGGTTAGGTACGGTTGATCAAATCCGGAATCGTAAATTTCACATTTAAGATCTCAAGACAAATCCTTTTTCTTTTAACCTATTTGGTGTCATACATATCAAGCCAACCTAACTTGTCATGTTTTATAAAAGATGCTTACATTTCGAATGTACTAGAGCAGCCAGCTTACATTTGGAAATGTCATTCTATCAAAGACAAAAGCTAAGATTAGTTACATTCTAACATTCTTAAAGTTCTAAAATTCTAAAACATCTGTTAAAGAAATCTTATATAAACATAGATACAATGTAGATATTGTTTATAAGAAAGTATATAACTAAATCAATCTCCGTGGTTTCATTATAACAGAATGACAAAGCATTGCTATGTTCAAATAAATACACAATGTGGTCTATCAACTCGATAATTTTCTTAACGTAGTTTTGATAAATATATTGTTCTGGGAGGAGGGAAAACTTTGTTGTAAAGTTTTGAATTGTGAAACTTTATTTCATTTGACAATAAGGAAGGAAACCAGCTGCTTTAAAGATATGGTTTCATTATATCGGTTGTTTAACACACGTTGTATCTTAACATTGGTGGTCGCTTTATACAGGGGTTCTGTTACAGACGATATATAATAACAGGATGAAAGGAAAATGATGATTTCTTACTAGTAACTTTGGTTTTTTGAAATAAATTATGATGTGGTCAAAATTTTTGAAGTTTCTGGAGAATTTTGAGCTGAAATTTGATTGCGAATATAAACTAACCTATTTATTGACAAACATCGTTATGTCGAAGTTTTATTGAACCGTCAAAAATAAGCAAGATATGTATGAAACCTGAGCCTTATTTATCAAAATAGAATGACACAAGATACAACATTATGTCGTGACAGGAAAATTACATATCCTGTTAGCATGATTTGTTTTTACGAAGTCTCATTTCATTTGCATTGTGAATGTTGACAAAACACATCAATCAAGATATTGCTGCCTTTCTCACGTTTACAACAATATGAATGTAATAGCATACAGAAATCTTCTAAATCAAGTGCAAGGGCGTTGCATTATAAATGTTCAGATTTCAGGATGTACCCAGGATCGTGAACAGAAAAAGTGGGAACTACCAGGTGAGAGTATCCACTGAATTAGGTGGACACTGGAATGCATAACGAGTATCTAGAAGTACTACATTTTAATACAAAATAGATACACTGCCTAGTAATGCCTTATAGGAATCTAAGAGTAAATATAGATATCATGACCTACATCTGCGTTAACACAGAACACTCATATTCAATTTTTAAATTATATTCATATTTGTTCATCTATGATCAAGAAATGATGATGAACTGGCAATACATGTTTTGTATTTTGTTTCTAGTTTAAAACCCGTTAATCCGAGATGAAGATTTGTTTCATTAAAGTGATAAATCTCAAGGACATGATAATAAAAAGTTTATTTTACTTCGGAAGCATCACAAAGTCGTCAAAGTATAAATTCGAAAGTATACAGGATTGTATTTAAATCGGCACAATTCCCAAAACATTTGTAGTAGCAACGGGATGTCACCCATCACAACGATATTTTCTAGTACATGTTTTAAAGTTATATTACACATATGATACAAGGTTATGAATACATGACGGTATTTTCTATGTTTTCGTTGTGTAAGAATGATTATTATTACCACTGACCTGAGCTTTCCTGGCCGTCGAGTTCTACCTTCATGTTGTTCTGCCTCCGATAACTCTTATCGTCTAAATAACAAAACAATCCGTCAAAATTCACAAACTATCGACGAAAAAGAACGATGTAAAATGAATATTTAAAATAAGTTTGATTAAATTCACAAGTGGTCAGTCCGGAATCAATTTCTGAAATATTTTGTAAGAGGAAGGCTTATATATAGCCCGTGTAATTTCTACAACAATTGACAGCATATGATCACAGCGTTAATAGCCAATTAGAGTGAGTAAATCGGTACGACAATGCCACAGCCGTCTGTAGGGGCGGTAATCACCACTACATTAGCCATTAACTGCCTCATTGTGTTCCTGTTATAGCACTGTCATGTTTATCCCTTCGGATCCGGATTCCGTTTAATTCAGATGATGACAGACATGATTTTGTTAAATGGTTAGTTATCACTTACCAGAATCAGTAGTGATTTTCTATTTCATCATGTGTCTTACTTCTCAGGAATGAAATGCAACACCCACACTAGATCTACACCTGTAATTAATTCGGGGTACTTGTAATGTTACTCTGTAATCTAACTGACAGTAGCATGTGTCCAATTTGCATTTGTGCTGCATTTCGCTCACTCTTTTCCACACTCCAGCAAGTTGCCTTTAATCTGTCCACGCGTAGCCATTCTTCAGTCACTGACTTCCTAACTTATTTTTGTATCTTAATACTAATATAATGATTTGATATTTTGTCGAGTGGTTGATATCAATTCAGTAGATAATATAAAATGCTGGCTTCATGATTTCTTGGAATGAGAATTATTAAGTACCATTAATTTACGTCGTCAAAGAAAACTTATAAAGAGGAAAATAACTTAAGTTCCATGTAGTTGAACAATTATTAAGGATATATCATTAAGATTTATCACAGTATACAGCGTCCAATGTAAAACGTTTTCAGCAAGATTAACCCGCAGTGAATAATCGTTTTGATTGCATCGTGATATGCATATATTTGCGTCATCTGTTTCATTATTGAGTCTGGCTGATGTTTATTTCTTTTTTTTTAATAGTAGCAGTAACAGTACTGATAGTGTGACGTCGTGCTAGTTGAAATATCGATGTTGTTATTTGTTAACAGTTAAATAAATAAACACTTGTAATTCCTTAGACTACGTATCAAATAATTTGTCGATTATTCACCTTCAAAAAAGAGCTAGTTTAAGTTGAATGATTGATTGATTGAACATTGGTAGAAATACATTATTGGGAATCAGTTGACAATCAGCAAGGTGTAGATAGAAACACTCGGAAACGCCAGTGTGCACAAATTACATCTCATCAGATAATTCCATATATAACATTGATAAGTGTGATTTGGTAAATGACATTAATTCAATTGTGCATTTTAAAATGTATTGTTAGAATATTATGAATGTGCTATTATAGCGTATATAATTTTTGTTCATATCCTTTTTATTTTGTCCATCCAGATAGTTTTAGAACATTAAAACAGAAAGAGCCTTCTTAGATGAAATTAAACATAATGACAATAACCATGAAATGCTTAATCTCAAACATCATTTTATCCCTGTATAATACTCCTAGCGTGTCTACCCTGACAGATGACAGATAAAGAATGCCTCCTATCACCCGCATATGACAAGAGGGTCACCCCGGGTTATATGTTCTTGTCATTGAATCTCTTATCCAACCGTAACTACCCGGTTTGTGACACCGTCAGGTGGGTTTACCTCTAACGTGTACAGATATAATCAATAACAAGTTTATTACGGAACTAAAGTGCAAGATAAACGAACTGAAATGAAGAATCAGTGGCCCTTCTTCACTTGTTTTATTAACATAACTTGTCATCAATTCGACGGTATTATCGAATTTTTGTAAACTGGGAAAACGTCAGTTGACTCTTGATAACAAGTAATTCTTCTGTCTCTGTATAATACAGACCAGTAGTTCGCTTACCTGCAAAATTTTACAACAACTTTATCTTTTTTGTACCAATTTTATTATCAATATTGTATCCGTTGTAGGTGTGATTTGAACCGTACCAAAGAAAGCATTTCAAAAATTTATTGAATTAAACTACTTAAATTTTCCCATACATTTTTTAACTTCAGTTGTTTAACGTGTGAAAGTGACATTATACTACCATGCTGACCATGATTTTTATTCTAGTGGGTTTTTTTTTCAGAAAACATGAAAAAAATCGGAAATGATTCACAATTTGGAAATTAATATGTGAAGATACTGCTTTGATGTAAGCAGAATCAGCTGTCATTTCTGTACTTGGGATAAACAATATTTCATCGTTTACAGATAATTATATTTCGCTTTCCCTAATGCTTATAATAACGGCAAAACATCAAACGATACAAATAGGTTGGACAGAAGATAAACATATCCATGGCGACAAATTCATGAATATTCAAATCTGATTACAAAAGTGTCACTTTTATGTTTCTGTCAGCAGCGCCACTAAGTGGCGAAGATGAGATGCTATCGGGTTAAGGGGTGATAACCCGGACCAGTGATAGGTCAACTCAGCTTTGTGCCTGTGTCGTTGTGCCTTCAGTCAATTTACATTTCAATAGTCACGTTGATGGTCAGCGAGTTGTCCACGACAGATAAACGGATGGTCATCAGGCATTAGAGTGAAATTTGAACATTTGATTGCATTCACTGCGATAATTACAACAATTTGAGGGGAAAGCATCACTGTATGAATTTGAAGTCGTTTCAGATATAAGTAAACTTATCCATTTAACTATTTCCTACCATTTCATGCCGATTAATTCCGATAATATGTCCGTTTGATGTCGACTTTATTGTTATGCTTTCCCCGAGAGTAAAGGTCAGCTCACATTGGAAGCAGTTACACTTAAACCTTCACATCAACTATGGGTTTAGTTTACAGTATAGTTTATCTAGGTTTTTATTATCGCTGGCGCCTGTTCGTTCAATTCACACATGATATCGCAGCTCAATCATTGCTTCTTACATATGAAACAACTATGGATATACCTTTTTTGTTTTTGTATTGAAAATGAAGTATATTTAAGTAAAATTATCTATATGTATACATGTAGTGTGAAAGTGTACCATGGTAAGGACGTATCTATTTTTCCTGGAATGTTGCAGTTTTATTCATCATTTTCTCATACTATATGTAACGTTCTGTTGATAGATAATTGTTCATTAGCGTCTTTTGTACAAAGAATTAATAACATTAGTTTATCATTTTATAACGTTCATATATTTTATAACATACATTTGAGCTGGGCATATATTATCAAATTCAATTATATACTGTATCATATAAAGTGCTTTTCATCTGGGTGTTAACCTGCATATTACTCTTTTATACCTCGTCTTATTTTGTATTTGATTCTGATTAATATGCAAATATGTCACCCATTTACTTCTAACTATCATAAAATGTTATAAATGTTATCTTACTGTATTGGAAGTAATGAATTGAATTGAAAATCTTTATTTCCTCCAACATTTGAAGATTGATTCAACAAAATATGATGATAGAAAATTAAAAATATGATTGTGCAAGAAAATGTTTAGCCGTTAGCCATTAAACTGTTACAATGAATTATTGAAATGTGAATTCACACTACCGGGGCTACAAGCAATGCAGAAGTGCAGGCTTTAATTTGCATATTGTCTTTGCAGACTCGGTCATAAGTGAAGTGCAGTGATCAAGGCTTATTTCCTACGCCATAGTTTTTCCTCCAAGTATAAGATTTATAAATCGGTCATAATCTTTTAGAAAACTAAGGCTCTGAACGTTCACTCTTGTCGTTGTGAGAACAATCTATTAATAAATGTGTCACTGGTTCATCAACATTTTATTCACAAGAACCGCAGATACAACCGGTAATAGGTACTACTGAAACCCGATTTGCACTTGTACGGTATTTCCTGGCACAGGAACCATAGTTTATGCGGAGCGATGCTTTGATGGATATTCTGAAAACTAGTTAGATCAGTCCGTTTTAATATGCACTCTTTCCAATTACATTCAGAAGTTTTTGTTATTGCATCCTTCACTATATATTTCCAGGCGATTTTGCTAGGGAAACATTCATATTTGATATAACTATTCACAAACTCTTCATCTCGAAATCAAATACATAGTATACTCACGAACACCACACATGTGCGACTCCGTATTGCACAAAGGAACATTTTGTTCTGATGAGATCATATTGAGGACCGTAGCACTAACCTATGATCTTCCTCGACTGCATCTCGTGAAATAATGTATTGTAAGTCGGTTACCGAAATCATGAAAAAAACCGAGATACTGGGAAAAAGCCCTAGAATATCGAATCAACTGCAACGTGCAAACACCATAGGTTAACTATACAGCAATGTTATCCTGAAATGGAAAGGTCACAATAGGAACATTGTAATCATCGCCATTGTAACACAGCTTGGCAGCAAACTGACCTATTGGTTTCGATGTAAGAAAGGCTAGATGAAAAACCCCGATGACAAAAATGTTTGGCCCAATGAGAAATGAGCTAAAATAAGGTAGTAAACTGGAATCCAACAACTAAAAGACTATGTGTATCAAATCTAATTATAATCAGGTCCGTTCTCCTGTGCTTTATTAACGAAGTACAGAACATGAATGAAGTGAGAGATCAGGTTTTAACTATATTGTATGTGTACATACATATCTTACTGAAACATGTTAATAAACATAAAAGTTGTTGTACCTCTTATAATATAACTATCAGTTATCACTTTTTCTTCCCTAAAATCATGAAATTTACAGCGCCTTCACATAGGAAATCATGATTTAAGTTTTGACGAATAAATCAAACCAAAATAAAATGTCTCGTTCTTCTACAATTTTACTAACATACTTACGGAACAGCATACCAAAGCCTTTTGAGCAAATGATAATAACTTGGAATGAAAAAGGCTAGCATACTCAGTACTGTTAAATACAATGTATTGACATAGAATCATGCGTTTTATAAGCCATTTGGCTTTGTGCCGAAGCAGTATAATGAGAAAAAGAAAAGGACAAAAAAGTAAAACAAAAGAAAAAAAATCAAAGAAAGAATTACAATATATAATGCCATAT